TGAAGACTTTCCCTGGTATTGACAGTAGTGTAATGCCTCTGTAGTTTTCACATTTGCTCAGATCTCCTTTCTTTGGAATCTTGACGAGGTGTCCTTCTTTCCAGTCCATCGGCACTTGTTCCTCCTCCCAAATCTTTTTGAATAGAAGGTAAGCATGCTTGTGGTTGCTTCGATGTCTGATTTCAGTGCTTCAGCTGGTATGTTGTCGGGTCCTGCTGCTTTCCCGTTCTTGATTTGTCTGACGGCCATTCTAATTTCTTCCGTCGTTGGTGGGTTGACATCTATAGGAAGATCTATGTGTGCTGCTTCGATGTCCGGTGGATTCATTGGAGCCGGCCTATTCAGGAGTTCCTCGAAGTATTCTACCCATCTGTTACGCTGTTGTTGAATTTCGGTGATTGGCTTGCCTTCTTTGTCTTTGACCGGCCTCTCTGGTTTACTGTATTTCCCTGCTAGTTTCTTCGTTGTATCGTGAAGCTGTTTCATATTTCCTTCTCTAGCAGCTTTTTCTGCCGTCGTTGCTAGTTCTTCCACGTATTTCTTCTTGTCGGCTCTAATGCTCCTCTTCACTTGTTTGTTTGCTTCTATGTATTCAGCTTGTGCTTGGACTTTCTCTGCTCGTGTTCGGCTGTTGTTAATTGCTGCCTTCTTGTTCTTCCTTTCTTTGATCTTGTCCAGTGTTTCTATAGAGATCCATTCCTTATGATGGTGTTTCTTTAGGCCCAGAACCTCTTGACACGTTGAAGTTAATGCTTCCTTGATGCCTTTCCAGTTGTCCTCCATAGTAGTTTCTTCCTCCTTCAGTAGATCTTGTAAGGCTTGGAACCTGTTGTTGAGAGCTATCTTGAATTCATTGAGTTTGTCAGTATCTCGAAGGAAGGCTGTATTGAACCTTTGTAGTGCTGTTTGTCCACTTGTCCAGTTCTTTTTTAGCTTCAGTTTTAAATTGGCTACAACTAGGTGGTGATCTGAAGCTACGTCAGCACCTCTCCTGGTTCTCACATCTTCCATTGTCCTTCGGAATTTTTTGTTGATGCAAATATGATCTATTTGGTTCTCTGTAGTGTGGTCCGGTGAGATCCATGTAGCCTTGTGTATACGCTTGTGTGGAAATATTGTGCCTCCTATGACCAATTTGTTGAATGCACACAAATTTGCAAATCTTTCTCCATTTTCGTTTCTTTCTCCCAGTCCATGTCGTCCCATAATATCTTCATATCCAGTGTTGTCTATTCCGACTTTGGCATTTAGATCTCCCATCAGAATAGTTAGGTCCTTTCTTCGGCATTTCTCAATGATTGACTGCAGCCGCTCGTAGAACTGATCTTTAATGTCGTCGTTGCTATCATTGGTGGGTGCATAACATTGGATAATATTCATTAAGATCCCCTCCTTCTTTGTTTTGAATGATGCTTTGATGATTCTGGATCCGTGAGACTCCCATCCTACAAGTGCATTTCGTGCTACTTTGGACAGCATAAGAGCGACTCCCTGAGTGTGTGGAGCATTTTCCTCTTCGTGACCGGAGTATAGCAGCATCTCTCCCGTAGCTAGCCTTTTCTGTCCAGCTTGGGTCCAGTGGGTTTCGCTGATTCCCAGTACTGCTAAGTTGTATCTCCTCATTTCCATTGCTATTTGACTGGTCTTCCCGGTTTCCCACATTGTTCGAACGTTCCATGTACCTATAAAAATTTTTGCTCTGGTTGTTAGAAGGGGCATCGGCCTCGTGGCTTCCGAAGGAACTCGGCTTTCACCATGAAGCGTCATAATTCTTCTAACTGAAGACCTTCTAACTCCCAGGGCAGAGTTTAAATGGTTTGGATTATTTTTTCTGGTAAGCGTTTTTTTAGCGAGTTAGTTTTCTACGGGATGGGGACGCTAACCCCATGCCCAACCCTCCTCCTTTACCCGGGCTTGGGACCGGCAGTAACCCTATAAGAGCTACAGGCGAAGCTGGTGACCAATAATTGGTTCATATGCTATTTGTTTCATTCGGATCCTGGAGCCCATGTACACCATTGGTTTTCGAACTCTCCTAGGTGGATCCCACATATCCACCAACCCAGTTAAAGCGTTGGATCTTCACTTTTTGTCCTCTCGGTTTCGTAAACAATACTCCTGGTACCGGCGGCCTGCTTGAGCATCTGGGCTACCTGTTCCTGCCATCTAGATATTTCAACAAGTTATCTATCTTTGTTTGTTTTAATATATCATTATGTCTATTAATCGCACAACCTATACTGCTGCGTTTCTGAAAAATGTACAACCTTTCGTTATTAAAGTTACAAAAAGCTCAAAAAGAGAGAATATGGTTGCTGGCAATGTACAACGAAAAGAATGTACATCATTCCCATGTTCATTTATTGGACTGATAACATCTAGCTGGCGACCACTCAGTATTTATCGCGAGGACCGACCAAGAAGAAAGAAACGGAAACTTGTTGAAATACTTTGTGCTGAGAATTCTATATTGTACCAATAATATAATATTGAATAAAGCTATTAATAATAATAATAATAATAAATCAGTGAGTAGGACTACCCTGGCAGTGGCTGTATACGCGTGGCCATGTGAGGGCATTTGGAGGCCTATACACACTGTAATTGTTTCAATAAATCAATTTAGTCTTAAATGTTCCAACTGTCGCTTATTACATTTTATTTCATTTTTCCGCCTGTAAAACGATTATGAAATCAGAACCGATATCAGCCAACACTTAAACTGAAAACTTTGTTCCACGCATCTTACTACTTATATAAATAATCAGTAGCCTGATTCATCAACTAATTTAATCTAGACGATTATAACCTTGTATGATATGTGAACAACTTAACTCACTATAGGGTAGTAAGAATGTACGGTAGCAGAGAAGAAAGTCGAACCACTCCTTTCGATGAAGAGAAGCCATTTCTCAAAGTTTTATATTATTTTTCGGTATTCATACTAGTTTCAACTAATTTGTAAGCTGAAATCGTTCCACAATGATGTCAATCAACAACAGAAAATAAGTACCACTTTTATATTCTAGTTATTACAAATTAACTGAAGTTAATTATGTATACTACAGTATTTGAACTGAATAACTAGAAAATGACCTTCTTACATGTTTAATTGACGAAAAAGTCTTCCACATTTCTTGATAAGTCTTCTAATTGAACGCTAGATTCTGTTCCTAAGCTCTTCCTATTAACCGCCAGGCTAAATGAACACAGCGACTTGAACATGAGAGAAAAGGTGCGAAATACGGAAGAAACGCTTTACTCCAAAGGTTCGATTTTGCAAAGAAAACCTAGGATTTTTACAGTATTTTAGATGATTTTAGGTTCCCAGAAAGTTCTGGAACGCCACTAAACATAGTAGCAGCATAGGTAATCATCCAATCAGAAACTCGACATGTGACTTTTCACTTTTTAGAGGTTTCTGGCAAAACTTCTAGTCGATGCTGATTGGATAAGATGTTTCTCAGTGTATTCAAAGCCTTTACCAGCTTTCTTTGAGTTTTCTGGATCTCTCAACAATTTTCGTAACTAATGATAAGAATTTCCAATTTCATACTATTTATACTCATTTTAATCAATCTCTTTGGGTTTCTTAAACAGATGTAACTCATTTATCAAATATATATTTATGTATCAGAATAGGGTCATGAAGATTATTGAGTTTCATTGAGATAATGAACCGATCAATGTTAGATCATGATTAAAAACCTAGCAAAGGACTCGTCAGTAGGACGCATCCACGATCCCGAACGCAGCAATAAAACCTAGGACCTCCAGTCCCATGTACGAACATTTAACCTTTAGACTACTGAGCCGGCGTCCAATGGTATTAATGTCTAATATATTTATGTATTCAGGTTAGTTATGCTGTATGATACTATTCGATTGTTAAAATCAAAGTAGGTGGATTAACGTTTAAACTTGTCACTTTATGGTTGAAAGCTGGATGACTAAAGCAACAACTCTCACTCCTTCACTATTGAAAGGATATTTTACTATCAGTTCAACTTACAAATCGATAATTGTCAGCAGTGGAAATTATAAGATGAACAATGTTCGATTTCGAACTCATGACAATTGAATATACCTCCACCTTATTATTTATGTTCATAATGGGACTCAAACTCAATATCCTATTATAGATTAGTGTGAGTTTACATTTAATCTATTTATTTATTTATTTTAACACATAGATATTGGTACAAGGAGGCACCAAATACATATGCGCCACACAGATCTCATTTGATATGTGTGAGGGCTGTGATATTGCCCGGGTGCCCAAACCGAAGCAGGTGGTTTTCTTAGGAGGCCACTCCCCGAGCCTTCCACCTGAAGGTCTGATCCACAAGGTAATCGAGCATCGTAAGGAGATGCAGTCCCATGGAAGCCGATGACCAACAATTGGTTCATACGCCATTTGTCCCTTCAGGATACTGGAGCCCATGTGCACCATTGATTTGGTTTGGAATCCGGTTAAAGCGCCGGATATTCGCTTTTCGTCCTCCCAATTTCGTAAACAACACCCTCGCCACGAGAAGGCAGTGAGTAGGACTTCCCTGACAGAGGCTATATACGCGTGGCCATGTGAGAGCATTTCGAGAGGGAGAGCGGACTCTCCCCACTCTCGGCCGTACCAGGGTATTTGGGAGCCATTTAATCCATAAAAGTACATTTACATGTAACTATCTATATTTATGATGATATACAGATTCTTTTAAGAGATTCAACTTAATATGTAATCTCATAAATAAATATAAAATCTTTAGAAAAAAAAAAGCAGAGCAAAACACACCTACAAAAGGTCATATACACTTGGATAATGTAGTGGCAGTATATAGACTAAATAGTTGGGAAGTGATGGTGGAAAGAAAACAGTTGGACAATAAAGAAGCAACATAACCATGAATGAAATAAGAGAATAAATTGTCAACATGAACAATCTAAATAACTAATACTTTTGTATTTGATGAAAGAATGATTGTAACGATGAGACCGGGGTAAAGAGAAAGTGAACTAATTCATTCATAATTGTTTTACATCTATAATTGATACATAGTTATATTGTTTGATTTTAATTCATAGAAAATTAATATGTTCATAAATGTTTTAAGCATTCAATTCTAAACCAATACCCATTTTTGTCAAATCTGGACCATTGAAAACTCCACTCAATGTCAATTGAAGACCTATAGTAGAATATGGAAAGAAAAAATGAGATGTAAACGAACATACTTTATATATGTATACAACTTGTGGATGAACCAATTAGATTTACGATAACAAGCCTTGAATTTTGGCGCGAAATCAATTCAATCATTTGGTTAAATAAAGTTTTGATATCATAGCTAATGTCAGTTCGTGATGAAAACCCCGAAATCTAATTTTTAACCCTAATTATCAACTGTAAATATTAATCTTAATTCTTCAGACTGATTTATAACTCTCATTTAGCCGTAGTATATAGGTGAATATTCTCAAGATCACTTCAGAGTCGCTCAAAGGTTGTTCATAAATTATAGTTTCACAACACAATCTATTCAAAAGTTGACAGTTATTTTTACCATTATTCACTCATCAAGCAGATATACGTTTGTATATTTGATTTTGAGCTCCATTCTAATTTCGAGCGCTAGCGATACCATTCAGTTGCTCAAGCTGAAGTAAATGAAATAGGGTTCGAACCTGAGGCTAAGTGGCTGAAGTTAGATCGCTTTAAATGCTAAAGCTCCACTACCTTACAAAAAGATAGAAATTTATTAGTTATAGTCAGAGTTAGAGTGATCACTTATCATTTGCCGATCTAGTAGTGAAATGTGTAACGTATGGAATAAATAACTCGGCAACCTAATCTCTAATTGATGCACTATACAATAAGCGATGAGATGTTTGAAAAGGATTGACTACTTATGAAACAAAAAATCGAAACACTGTGTAACGATCAGGTTCAATTATCGATCACAAAATATTAGAATATTCGATGGAAATTGTTTAAATGGATATTCAAGTATAATCCTATACATGCCTCCGAGTTACACCTTTTGTGTGATGCTTAGAGATACTAACGGACTGTCTACATTAAATAAGACAGAGCAAGGTACTAACCTAAGGTGCTAGTTGAAAAACGAGTACTACGACCATTAAGCCACTGCTACTTACTTATTTAGGCACATAAACATGGGTACAAAGAGGCACCGAAACGTATGTGTCACACAAAATTTGTATGAGGGCTGGAAACTGTCCAGCCACCCAAACTGAAGCAAGTCGTTTTCTTAGGGAGCCACTCCCTGAGCCTTTGATCTAGAGATATAATCTGTAAGGAAGTGCAGCAACATTAGGAGATGTAGTCCCATGGAAACCAGTGACCAACAACAGGTTCATACGCTTTTTTCTCTCTCAGGATCTTGGAGTTCATGCGCAAAATTGGTTTGGAATCAGGGTTTTCCAACTCCACTAGGTGGACCTGTCGTGTCCACCGACCCGGTTAATGCACCAGACATTAGGCTTTCATCCTCACAGTTTCGTAGACAACACCCACACCACGAAAAGGCAGTAGGACTTCCTCGACAGTGGCTGTAAACGCGTGGTCGTGTGAGAGCATTTCGTGAGGGAGAACTGACTCTCCCCACCCTTGACCGTACCATGGCATTTGAAGACGGAATTTCAACCAAATATTATCTTCAAATGTGGAGTCATATACAAATTTATTAGAAGTAAGAAATCATGTAGTCACTTGTATGTTATACTTTGTGTGTGTGAGAGAGAGGAGCTATTAAAATAATTTAACTGCTGTAAACAAACTTGAATGAGACAAGAAAACCCATATCCTAAATGAATAAAAGTTAAGCGACTCTAATCAGTGTGTTGGAATGAACTAATATTTCGAAGATGAAGAAATAAATCCATGCTGAATCTCAATACCAACATTAAAGTGAAATAAAATCCGAATTGTAAAATTAGATTTATTTCTAAGCAAGATATTAATAACAAACAATTAACTTTGATACCTCAATATTTGATGAGTGATTGAAGTTTGTCAAACATGATAAAGCCTTCACTGGTAAACAATATGGTTATTTATAGTTTAGTTGAAAAGCGTACTTTCTAATTAAAGCACTAATGTTCTGTTTAACGCTTGCTTACTACTAACCCAAATGCCCTGCTACAGCCGAGAGTGGGGAGAGTCCGCTCTCCCTCTCGAAATACTCTCACATGGCCACGCGTATATAGCCTCTATCAGGGAAGTCTTACTCACTGCCTTCTCGCACCACACGTGTTGTTTATGAGATTGATAGGACGAAAAGCGAACGTCCGGCGCTTTAACCGGGTTGATGGACATGGAGAGTCCACTTAGGGGAGTTGGAAAACCCTCATTCCAAACCAATAATGCACATGGGCTCCAGTATCCTGAAGAAACAAATGGAGTATGAACCAATGATTGGTCGCCGGCTACCCTGGGACTGCATCTCTTGACGTTGCTCGACTTTAAGGCGGCATTCGACTCTGTTGATCGTAAGGTTCTATGGCAGTGTTTGTCATTGAAAAGAGTATCAAAGAAGTACATTAACCTTATAAAGGCTCTCTACTCGAACACAACTGGTAGAGTGAGAGCTTATGACGAACTGTCATCAGAATTGATTACTTCAAGTGGTGTTCGTCAGGGCTGTCCACTCTCTCCATTCTTGTTCAACTTTGTCGTTGACGTACCTTCAGAGATAACACTTTCCTCGTCCAGATTTCCAGGGGTTGAACTTCTACCGGGAGGTTCACTTGTTGACTTAGAATATGCTGATGACATAGTTTTATTTGGTGAAGATGCTGACAAATGCAGAGTTTTCTGACCACCACATAAACAACAATGCAAGCATGTTTGGCATGCGATTCACTCCCTCGAAATGCAAAATGTTGCTTCAGGATTGGGTTACATCGACACCCGAACTAATGATAGGGAGTGAAGTAATTGAGCGTGTCGATCGCTTCACTTATCTTGGAAGTCTGATCAGCCCTTGTGGTCTGGTGTGTGACGAAATCTCAGCACGGATACAGAAGACTCGACTAGCTTTTACCAACTTACGTCATTTATGGTGTAGGTAAGATATCGGTCTATCAACCAAAGGATGTGTTTACTGCGCAGCAGTTCGTCTCGTCCTACTTTATGGCAGTGAAACATGGCCGGTAAGAGTAGAGGATATTCGTAGGTTGCTAGTATTTGATCATAGGTGTCTTCAAAACATTGCTCGTATATCCTGGGACCATCGAGTAAGTAATGCAGTTGTTAGGAAACGGGTACTAGGTAAGGATGGCATATCAATTGATGACATAGTGAAACTTCATCAGTTGAGATGGCTTGGACACGTGTTACGTATGCCCAACGACCGACTGCCTCGACGTGCGATGTTCAGTGGTATAGGAGTAGGTTGGAAGAAAGCTAGGGGCGGCCAGATCAAAACATGGCACAAGTCCATGAAGTCACTGACAAGTGGTCTGAGTCATGTCGGTAGGTGTAAACTACCTGGTTGGGGACCGCGAGATGATAGCAACCGATGGTTAGAGACCCTGAATGACATGGCTCAAAATCGTTTACAATGGCGCAGGTGCATACACTTTGTGTTCTCCCAAATTTTGATCTCCTTATTCCTCCTTGTCTCTTTTTTTCTCCTCTCAAATTTATTTCATTGTATTATACTCTTTAAGTAACATCTCCAAACACTAATCTTCCCGATTACTGCTTATACTCTTGCTACCTCTACCACTACGGGATTTGAATCGACCACTGCATCTCTGTGCTAATGTGGTGTGGCAACTCGAACTGATGTACGTACGTACGAAGTTCTACGTTGTTACTGACTGACTGACTGACGTTGCTCCACTACCTTGTGGATCAGACCTTCAGGTCGAAGGCTCAGGGAGTGGCCTCCTAAGAAAACCACCTGCTTCGGTTTGGGAACCCAGGCAGTATCACAGCCCTCACACATATCAAATGAGATCTGTGTGGCGCATATCTATTTGGTACCTTCTTGTACCAATATCTATGTGTTAAAATAAATAAATAAAAATAAAAATTATATTATGAAGACAGGAAACATTTGGGATAAAAGAGAGAGCAGTAAATATATAGTCATAATCTACTCTTTTTAAAGGTTAAACTAGAATCAACCATTTAAAAAAGAAAGTTCTTTTATTCATGGTTGAGAGTTCTCAGATCAAGTTAGTCATTTTGAAAACAACTTATATGTGAATGTTTATAGTGTACTATGAAGAGGTCCTCATGTGTTGTATTATCATAAAATAACGATAAACATAAATTCCACGATAATGTAAACTATCTTCCTATAAACTCATTCGTCAGGTACGAACCACAATTTAAGTGCGATGACTAATGATACCATCCGGTTGCAGAAACACAAGTAGATTGAGTGGAGTTCGAGCTTATTATTGTAAACCATTAGTGCCTTCATTACTCTAAAGATTAGTAAAACATTTTATCAGTAAACATATCATTTCTTTTAATCGAATTAAGATAGTATTATATAAATGTGTTTTAACTCACTTTTTGATAAATATGTTGTAAAGCCAAACTGATCTGATTTAAATGATCTAGTCTCAATTTCACAGAATGCTTTTTCTGATTATCTAATATATATTGTGATCCAACAGCCCAAACAGTTTCATCTGGGACACGTTTCCATGTAATCTATGATTAATTAAAGATTTAGAGAGTCAAATAATTTAAAAGATATTATTCTAAATAGAGTTAACGACTACTAACATTTGTGAAGTAAGGTGAGATGTTAAGAGTTTGAAATGGAATTCTCAATTTCAAAGGTTCCTCACTTATTAAACAGTGGTAATAGTAACGTACATGTTAGCTCTAATGATGGTCCGTCCCACTTTCTGATAATCTAAGAATTGTGTTTGTACATATACTCTTATTACCTCTACCACTATGAGATTTGAATCGACAATTGTATCTCTGTGCTAATGTGGTATGATAACTCCAACTGATGTATGTATGTACGAAGTTCTACGTTGTTGACTGACTGACTGAACTGTGTGTTATATCCTTAAAGAGGTTCTTTTATATACGATTAGAAAGTTACTTTCCTACTGATAATAAACTACTAATTCAGTAATAATCTAGGAAAAATGACATGAAATTACAATTCATTTCAATCTTTAAAATCATTCAAAATATTATATAAAGATATTTAACGGTTCATAGTTATCATTGATAAACTGTTTACAGAGCGAAATAATTACGTGAAATAAATAAATAATTTGTACCATGAACTTAAGCATATGATACTTGGTGAAAGTGGAAAATCGGTTGATGAGATAGTGAATTTTCATCTACTGAGGTGTCTAACTATCATCTACACTGAAGAGTGATACATGCTAATGGAGAAGTAAGTTAGAAGAAAGCCAGAGGTAGCCAAACCAAGATATAGCATCAGTTCATGAAGTTATTAACTATTAGTCTAAGCCGCACATCTGTTCCAGGCTTTATGTTGATATATCATGTTTGACTTAGGATTCACAGTTTGTGATTAAAACAATATTACCAACTTATGTGAGGTTGATTTTGTTTAGTAAAATTACGATTTGACACAAATATTACCAGCTACCATGATGTTTCTGATTGTACTATTTTGTAAATTGTACGGCAAAAGGTAGTAAACTTTTCATAATCGCGCAAAAAAACACGGAATTTTTTGAAATATCTAGATGGTAGGAACAGGTAACCCAGATATTCAGGTAGGTCGCCACAATAAATATAAACACGTACTCACACCATAGAATTTGTTATATTCTGACGAAGATTACATTACGAGTAACTTTGAGACCTATTAATGAACTAATATTATATGTATATTCTTATGGTATGACTATTCAGTAATTAGATTATGTACATCTATATTCAACTCCGCCTGGAGTCCCTCCGGGGGCTACTGCCGGTCCCAAGCCCGGATAAAGGAGGAGGGTTGGGCATGGGGTTAGCGTCCCCATCCCGTAGAAAACTAACTCGCTAAAAAAACGCTAACCAGAAAAAATTATTCAAACCTTTTAAACTCTGCCCTGGGAGTCAGAAGGTCTTCATTTAGAAGAATTATGACGCCTCATGATGAAAGCCGAATTCCTTCGGAAGTTACGAGGCCGATGCCCCTTCTGACAACCAGAGCGACCATTTATTTAGGTACATGGAATGTTCGTACAATGTGGGACACCGGGAGAGCCTTCCAAATTGCTGCAGAAATGAGAAGATACAACCTAGAGGTACTTGGGATCAGTGAAACACATTGGACACAAGTTGGACAACAACGACTAACTACAGGAGAGCTCCTGTTATACTCCGGCCATGAAGAAGAAAATGCACCACATACACAAGGAGTTGCATTGATGCTGTCCAAACAAGCGCAAAATGCACTTATAGGATGGGAATCTCATGGACCAAGGATCATCAAAGCCTCCTTCAAAACAAAGAAAGAGGGCATTTCAATGAACATCATCCAATGCTATGCGCCTACCAACGACTACAATGAAGACGCTAAAGATCAATTCTACAATAGGCTGCAGTCAATCGTCGAGAAGTGCCCAACAAAGGACCTGACCATTCTGATGGGAGATTTCAACGCCAAGGTTGGAACGGACAACACTGGATATGAAGACATCATGGGACGACACGGACTGGGAGAAAGAACGAAAATGGTGAGAGATTTGCAAATCTATGTGCCTTCAATAAACTGGTCATAGGCGGCACCATATTCCCACATAAACGCATACACAAAACCACATGGACTTCACCGGATCACTACACAAAACCAAATCGACCATATTTGCATCAACAAAACGTTCAGGAGGACTATAGAGGACGTGAGAACCAAGAGAGGAGCTGATATAGCATCAGATCATCACTTGCTGGTCGCCAAGATGAAATTGAAACTCAAGAAGCACTGGACAACGGGGCGGACAATATCACAAAAGTTCAATACGGCCTTTCTTCAGGATACTAACAAACTCAACAAATTCAAGATAGTCCTCAGCAACAAGTTCCAGGCCTTTCATGATCTACTCAATGGAGAAGGAACTACTGTGGAGAGCAACTGGAAGGGGATCAAAGAGGCAATCACTTCAACATGTCATGAGGTCCTGGGTCACAAGAAGCACCATCACAAGGAATGGATCACTGTTGATACACTGGATAAGATTCAAGAAAGGAGGAACAAGAAGGCAGCAATCAATACCAGTCGAACAAGAGCAGAAAAAGCCAAGGCACAAGCTGAATACACAGAAGTAAACAAACAAGTGAAGAGGAGCATCAGAACCGACAAACGTAAATATGTGGAAGATTTAGCAACGACGGCGGAAAAGGCTGCAAGAGAAGGAAACATGAGACAACTGTATGACACGACAAAGAAACTCTCTGGAAATCGCCGCAAACCAGAACGACCAGTGAAAAGCAAGGAAGGCGAGGTAATCACCAACATTGAAGAGCAACAAAACAGGTGGGTAGAACACTTCAAAGAACTCTTGAACCGACCAGCCCCACTGAACCCACCCAACATTGAAGCAGCAGGACCAGACAACATTCCAGCAGAGGCACTAAAAGCAGACGTAGCGGTAACTGCAAGGATACTCCACATTCTCTTCAATAAGATTTGGGATGAGGAACAAGTACCAAAAGACTGGAAAGAAGGACTTCTGAAAAAAAAAAAAAAAAAAGGCGATCTCAGCAAGTGTGATAAATACAGGGGCATCACTCTTCTCACAATACCGGGAAAAGTCTTCAACAGGGTATTGTTAAACAGGATGAAGGACTGCGTAGACGCCAAAGTTTGAAATTGACAGGCTGGATTCCGTAAGGATCGATCGTGTACCGACAAAATTTCAACACTACGGATCATTGTGGAACAATCAATTGAATGGAATTCATCACTCTGCATCAACTTCATTGACTACGAGAAAGCATTTGATAGCGTGGACAGAACAACACTATGGAAGCTCCTTCGATACCACGGCGTGCCTCAGAAGATAGTCAATATCATACGGAATTTCTATGATGGATTAGACTGCAAAATTGTGCATGGAGGACAATTGACAGACTCGTTCGAGGTAAAGACCGATGTCAGGCAAGGTTGTTTACTCTCACCCTTTCTCTTTCTCCTGGTGATCGACTGGATCATGAAGACGTCAAAATCTGCGGGGAAGCACGGGATAAAGTGGACATCTAGGATGCAGCTGGACGATCTAGACTTCGCAGATGATCTGGCCCTCCTATCGCAAACGCAACAACAAATGTAGGAGAAGACGACCAGTGTAGCAGCAGCCTCAGCAGCAGTAGGTCTTAATATACACAAAGGGAAAAGCGAAATTCTCCGATACAACACAGCATGCACCAATCCAATCACAATTGACGGAGAAGATTTGGAAGATGTTAAAACCTGTACATATTTGGGCAGCATCATTGATGAACACAGTGGATCTGATGCAGATGTGAAGGCGCGGATCGGACAAGCAAGAGCAGCATATTTACAACTGAGGAACATCTGGAACTCAAAGCAACTGTCAAACAACACCAAGGTCAGGATTTTCAATACAAATATCAAGACAGTTCTACTGTATGGGGAGGAAACTTGGAGAACCACGAAAGCCATCTTCTAGAAGATACAGGTGTTTATTAACAGTTGCCTATGCAAAATACTTCAGATCTGTCGGCCAGACATTATCAGCAACAAACTACTGTGGGAGATAACAAACCAGATTTCAGGGGAGGAAGAACTAAGGAAGAAGCGCTGGAAGTGGATAGGACACACATTGAGGGAAGCACCCAACTGTGTCACAAGGCAAGCCCTCACAGGGAATTTTGAAGGCCAAAGGAAAAGAGAAAGACCAAAGAACACATTACGCCGGGAAATGGAAATAGACATGAGAAAAATGAACAAGAATTGGATGGAACTAGAAAAGACCCAGGACAGTGTGGGTTGGAGAATGCTGGTCGGCGGCCTATGCTCCATTAAGAGTAACAGGCGTAAGTAAGTAGGTAAGTAATATCTATATTCCCCTTATTATAAGCTTCATTTTGACCTACAATTTATTATTATACGATTTACTGTTCTTAAATTATACTCAGTTTATTAATTACAGTCTCCCACGTTCACAGACACATTTTGGCTTTATTGTGTATGAACGTTATTTCTTATTTTATAGTGCGTTGCAGTCTGTTTGTTTGGTATATAAACCTAGTATGTCTGAAATATGGGATTCGCATAGTGGAGGCTGTTGTTCGCATTCTAGACTCAGCTGAACGGGCTAGGTGAACATAGGACCAATAAAGACGCTAGGTTGCTCTTACCGGTCGAACGTCATCGGTTTAGTACAGTACGAAAGTGAATAAGTCGTATTTTGATTGGCGAATAAATTACGTGATAGCTAGCGGGTCATAAAGACACAACAGAGTTGGTATAAAATTAGGTTATCACAATCTTATTGGCTATATCTTAGTAATTATAATAGTACAAAGTATGTTTTCTATATAAAGTATCAATTTCAATACTTAATAAATAAGCAAAACTCAGTTAATCGTCAACAACGTAGAGCCTAGTACACATGTACGTTGGACCAAGCTACTAAACTACTCTAAAATAAGATCAAATTAACAGGTTGAATACTAAAGGGATTGAAATAATGCAATGAAAATGCTGATAAGATTGAAAATTGAGAATGAGATTCAAGAAGACAGAAAGGACAAATATGTATGTAGGATTATTGAAATTCAAGATCAAGTGCATAATAAAGAAGAATGTACCTACACCAGTGTCTGATTCTGAGAGCGCATCAGCCAATGTCTTTAATCACTGATTGAGATTGTCTTTTGGACACCAATCAGATAGTCTGCATCTATATAAGCAGTTCAAGTTAATAGTCAATGAATTCATGGACTGATGCTACTTCTCGGTTTGGTTACCCCTAGCTTTCTTCCAACCTACTTCTGTACTGTCTAACATCACCCGTCTAGGTAAACAGTAGCTAGGCACATGTAGAACATGTTCTAACAAAAATATTTGGGTGATATGAACCTAGAACATAGTCAAAATAATCTAATAACTGTGTATCACCTGTTACTTCAATGAAGCGGAAATTTTGAAATACAATATAAAACATGAAAACTAGAGACAAGATTATACTTTGGCAAAGCTGATTAGTGATTAGCGGTAAAACTCGTCAGCTGGGTGTAATTGAATTCCAGTGTTGACGTTTACATCAAAACTCAAACACAGTACGCCTATCGCCTTATCTACTGAGCTATTCAATCTAGATAGATACTGGCTCGTGAGACAGGTACGCGTTTTACTTTTTAGTTTTTAAATCTTGTCACTGAAGTTGGTGCTTACAATTGGTTAGTCTCAGAGTGAACATCAATAATAGGATCCAGGTACATCCAAATAGCGAGTCTCAAATAAGGCGAAACATTCATCCTGGTTTATACTGCTAGACACTAAATAATTTTACTAAAAGAAATTGTGACTGAATGACAATACCGAGGCATTTCATTCAGTCCTTAACAATAGCGAGGGAATTCAAACACAAAACAAAGACTAGAACCTTGATTAAAAAATAAAGATTGAAAAACTGTCAAACAGAATAATAAAAACGTTAAGGAAAAAATAGGCAACTTATATCATTAAAATAAAAATTTAAGAATTACACTTACTGAACCCGCTATATGCAGTCGATCAGTTATACGTTGAAAGATGCTGGCTGAAAATTGTTTACCCCAATTTGTAATTAAACCATGAAAACTAAAATCTTGTACTGTGTAACCGACAGAAAAATTAGCTTTTTGTAAAATTTGATTTGTACAATCCAATTTAACATCTGCACCAACCAAATAGCCTTGGTAACTAATATTATGAAAAACAATTTTAAAGTACAAATGCATGGTTTAAATGTAATAGGAAACTTAGCACACATAATGAACAAATTAATGAATGTGCCATGTAATTTTGGAGGTTTTTATTTATTTATTTCAACACATAGATAATGGTACAAAGAGGCACCAAATACATATGCGCCACACAAATCTTATTCGATAAGTGTGAGGGCTGTGATACTGACCAGGTGCCCAAACCGAACCAGATGGTTTTCTTAGGGGGCCACTCCCCGAGCCTTCGACCTGAAGGTCTAACCCACAAGACAGTGGAGCATCGTAAGGAGATGCAGTCCCACGGAAGCCGGTGACCAACAATTGGTTCATACGCCATTTGTTCCCGCAGGATACTGGAGCTCATGTGCACCATTGGTTTGGAATCCGGTTAAAGCGCCGGACATTCGCTTTTCTTCCTCTCATTTTCGTAAACAACACCCCGCCACGAGAAGGCAGTGAGTAGGACTTCCCTGGCAGAGGCTATATACGCGTAGCCGTGTGAGAGCATTTCGAGAGAGAGAGCGGAATCTCCCCTCTCGGCCGTACCAGGGCATTTGGGGGTTTACAGAAATACATTAACTAAATAATACAGCCAAATAGACTGAAATACTAATCATTTGAAAAAATCAAACAATAATGAACTTAATCTCTACATAAATTAGTGAGGCAGCCTCAGTGGAAAAAGAGTTCAACATCAAGAATATATGATGACATATTAGAAGGAACATAAAAAAATTAGCTATTTAAAATAAATAGAATGATGTAGAGTGTAGTATAAGTCTGGAGATCTGTAAAGCGTTACCGGCGATAGTATTTCATCATAATCCAAAGATATATAATTAAATTGTAAGTTGAAAAGAACCTATTTCATTAGTGTGTTATGAGACAAACACTAGTCACATGAATCAAAGTACCAACGCAATAGTCAGCGCCAGAGTGGTTTAATTAGTGAACGCAATGCAAGTATACTTCAACCCAGCTAGTACTAAGACCTTAATGACTTCTGGGTCAACCTTCAACCAATGTGAAAACAAAAGGTTTATTTCTCACTTCTAATCGACGATTATAAGAGGAAAAAGATTGTGAATCAGCTATACAAGATGGTGAGTTTCATGAAACCTGATTCAAAAACATTGTGAATTGATTGAAGTTAGATTTGTACACCATTGGATTCTGGTTCAGTGCTCTACAGACTAGGCATTCGCACCGAGGGTCCTGGGTTCGATTCTTGACTGAAGGGTCGTGGATGAGCGCCGCTGAGGCGTTTCATACCACGACGAAACGGTCGTCCGATGTTTTGAGGTTTTCAATGGTTGTATATCTTAGATTGGCTTGTGATTTTAATGATACATATGCAGTTTAGAAACTTAAAGTGCCAATTACTAAGTCATATTTTTGCGTAATCCCGATGAATATTTGGGAAACAATAGACTTCTCAACAATTAGGAAAAGTGGTTATTAGCCGCATTAAATTGGTGCCACACTTGTTAAGACGTTGTGATATCGTTTCCGATTTTTTAAACGTGATATCACATAACTGTTGAAATTTATTTTGATTTACCGCTATAGGGAGAGCTGCTGTCCACCAAAAGTGGAACAAACTTGGAAATAAACTACTTTATGTACGCTGCTTAGTTTCCGTACCCGAAATTTGTTGTACCAACAAATTGCAGCTTCGATTATAGTAATCCAAAAACTAGGAGAGTATCACATCCCGATGGCTTCATCTGACATACATCAATCATGCAAGCTGTATTACGTATGCTGAATCGAATTATCATGCCCCCCCCACGTGTCTGATAAGCGGATATAAAAATGCGAAGTGAGGTATGGCAATTGAATTATTGAAACGTCGTGGGAATTCCTGCATGAATAATGAATGGTTGAGTGACTGAAGAAAGTGGATTGACTACAGTAGAGACTACTAAGAAAGAAGTTTTGCATCCCAGAAGTGGATTTAAATCGAATGATTTGCAATATAGTGTTTAATTGTTGACTGGATTTAAAATGTCCACTCAGACTTTTACTAATAGCAACAATTTGAGTGGTTTTTGGTTACACGTATAATAATGTTGAGTTTTAAAGAAGTTGTACAACCAAAACAAGCATCTTCACGAAAGGTAACCAATCAAGTAAGTACTCATTATTGTATTGTGATACTTTCGTGCAGTGCGTCAATAATTTCGCTACTCCGACCTTCATAGTGTATACAAAACTATCAATTTTAGTTTTATGAACCGATAGCCAGGGTAAAAAGTTTTACATATGAAGCTTTTAGGTGTCCACTAAGCGTAATTAAACATTAAGTTGATCGATTATATATCAACAAAAATCACCAGAGTATTTAAAATGAGCATTTTTCATTGACATAAGTCATTGTAAAACTGTATTGAAATTCTGCGAAATGTGTTCACATCCAATAATTTATTGTAACAGAATTATGACCTAATTGGATTGATGTCTCTCATTAGTTGTAATTTGAGACTATATTCTCGACATATTGATACCTGTAAGTCCGGATCGTCGAATACGTAGTAACATCAGAACACCAAACCTCGCTGAGAAGCCAATGTACAAACGTAGTTAAGAGGAATAAAGTAGTTAAATACGTTAAACTTATTATTCAGCTAGAAAGTTAATCATTTTGTGAACTATAACCCAGAATAACCGTTATCAGTGTACTATAAAACAGGAAGAAGGTTATAAAACCCGTATTTTCAAGTTTTTAAGGAATATTTGAAAGCAGTTTTGAACTTACTTAAAAACAAAAGATGGGGACAAATCAGGGATAGCAGACTTGAAGAACATTTCGACGTTAGAATTCACATGCTTGTTTCGAAAAGAATTGATTAAATTGGCATGAAAGCAGCTAAGTAATTAGTTAATGAGAGTGTCCTACTTTTGAAAAGGATCGCGAGAAATTTGAAAAGTTTGTTTCAACCCGTCAACTAATTTGTCTTCAAATACTATTTCTCCATCAACTAGATTGTTGGAAGACCACTTTTTCGTCATAGTTAGACCATATTGTGGAAACGAGAACTTTTCCTGCAGGTTGAAATGCATCTGAGAAAATAATTAAGTGTAGATACAACAGTTAATGTTTATATACCTTATTTGGTTTAGGTCCATCACTAATATCGGCTTTAAATTCGATGTCATTTTCTTTGTCGTGCAGTGAATATTATACAGTCCAAAATAAAACTTTTTAAAGAGTAAGTCCCGTGCATCTTTACCAAGATCCGAGAACGAAGGGGGAACCATAGTGTATTGGGGAGTTACGCCTATACTGAATTCAGTACTTTAACCTTCAAGTGCATCAATGGTTTTAATTTGATAAAATTTGAGCGATGACCCTATGTGAACCAATTGATTTATTTGTGCCCGTGCTTTGATATTAGGATTAGTTGCATATTAACTAAAAATATCAAGTTAACATGTACAAAAACCTGATCTCAACCTGTCTTCATATTATCATAAATATGACCATCTGGTAAAACTGTCGGTTAATTTGACTGTCTTAAAGGAACAGAATATCCCGGCTCTTAGATTAGGCAGATCGGACCATTGAATTATCCATGTAGTTCAATATCAGTTAGATAGGTATACCTTTCTAGAGTACTGTCCAGTAAGGTTGAGACCAGAAGTTTAGCAATATAAGCTGATTTGATCTGACCCAGAACACTAGTGTAATTTTGAAATATTCTAGGCCGTACAAATCCCTAGGACTACCACAGCTAATGATTAAGTAGATCATCAATGTAGGTGGTCTGTATCGAAAATTAGGGGACGTACCAGAGTTGGACAGGAATGGAGTGGCCACTCAGCTTAAATCGAGGTCACACCTCACGGTGAATGCCTGACGTAGATTATTCTTTCTTTATATACATACGCTATGGATACTTCGTTGACTGTACAACACAAACAACATTATTACAGAAATATATCAGTAGGAGTGTGTAGGGTCAGTTAAATGTCACTGTGCCTTAAACAAATCTTTCGACAGTTCGGTCACTGAATGTTGAGCAGCTCGTTGATCCCCGTCAGGGTCAAGGATAATCAACGCGAACCAGTTAATTTCACGCCAAGCACTGGCCCATACGGTGGTGGTCACAACTTCTCCCTTGTTCCTACTTTTACCAACACATTTCTGTAATAACGTCCTTCGTGTTGTAGCCATATTACCTTGATACGACGAAGAGGCAATCCACGTTAGATGCCGAACGCGAGGTGTGACTTCAAAATTAGATGTTGGTCAAACCATTCACGTCTAACTCGAGTAGGCTTCCAATCATTCGACATAGATTATCTACTTTGATGATCTACAAGTAAGTACAAGAAATAGTGTACCACCTCCGCTGCATGGACCAGTCCATAGAGTGCAATCGATTGATGCATGTTGGTTGACGTTGATGAAGATCGGTAAGTTGCTTGATACTCAGTGACTCGACTACCAAGTGATTTGGCTAAGGCCAAAGTGTTTCACAATTAGCTTAGAAACGTAGATAGATAGATAGAAACATAGCTTTGTAGGGACACATGAAAAGTATGCACTCGCGCGGTCGGCAAAAGTTATCCTTAATTTGACCAAAACTCATGTGCAGAACTGTAGCACGACTCATTCAAACTAACGGTATGTATAGAAAACTACGGATTTATAATGCGCAACCACTACCCAGTATTTTGGAACGTGTGCGTTATGGGTAAAATAGAGCTTTCAATCGAGTCTCTTGTTTTATGTTCACATTAAACATTTTTCCTGCAAAGCAACTCACAACAGACTCACGAGGGTTCCAGAAAATGTGAATTCGGAGACCAGTGCCACGGGGTGATGTAGGGGATTATGAGGGAATTTTACAACTACGCTGACAAACTTCCATTTTAATAAACCTACAGCTTAGCTTCAAGGCATAGGTGAAGCGGTAGAGAGAGAAAAATAGTTCGTATTTCTTGACAAAAATATTTTTAACACTGCCGAACCCAAGACAAAAAATTTAAGGTAAAAATTCTGACTGTGAACAGAAATTACTAGCGCTCTTAGTATGCCATTGTCACGTGGTAGTTTACTGAAAAACGTTGGCGCTTGTAAAATTATAGTCCAGTCCGTCATTAGTACATTTATATTTGCCACTATAGTAATAGAACCAATACTAAAATTTAAACTTGTCATATCGTGACTACTTAAACCTACATAAACTTTCGTAGAAGACATACCATTGTCCATACCTACTCGTTCTATGGTGATAACCAGTAATATGATGTTTAGTACTTCGGAAGAACACATTTCGGCTGGAGATAAAATAATATATTTTATGTGGAAATGTTTGATTTACATAAAATGACAGCGCCTGAAAGGCTGGTATTGAGAAGCCGAAAGACAAATCAAAAAAGAGGCGACAGCAACTGACCGGAAAATACATGCAACGATCGGTTTTATCTTTGGTTGATATTTGAAAGTCAGTTAACATTCATGCCGGTATGTTGTACGTATGGTTTGATTTCCAACTGCAATTGCGTCAATGGGCTAACTGGAAGAACAAAAGTATGACCGGGGCGGGGAAGAACCTCAACTAGTGTTCCAGTTAGTTTGTTGATTTTAATACGGTTTATTTAGTCTCGGGAGATATCCTCAACCTCGTTTTCGCCTAATCGCGACAGGATTTAATAATAATAATAATAATAATAATACATATGAATAAATATCAAAATCCTTTCAGTGCGTGGAAATAGTGGTGGTTATGTGAATTTCGAACAGACAGCTAACAGTAATATGCTAAACATGAGATACATGTTTTAGACTCAATGCTTTGATGCTAAGTAAGCTAATTATTTATATTGATACTCATCGGTTGGTAGTGCATGCAAGTTCATTGCAGTTATTCCATGAAGCAGAAATCGACTTATTTGAAATGGAGTGATTAAAAGTCGTTGAAATTGACAAAGATTATGTGCTACAAATATAAGAGATTCGGTGTCGTACGTTGCTTTCCGCTAAATAAATCTTCACAAGAAGATAAACCGTGAGTGCTGCTATGATAATGAGAAGTATTTGAATTATAGTATGAACTAAGAATCCCAGAAATAACGTAATCGGATCAACAACTACTAGATAACCACAAACAAATGTACTGTATTTGGAATTCGAAATCAAGCATTCAACAAGTACAAAGGTATCATTAAGTTCATTAAAATAGCACATCCGCCACAGCTTAAATTAGAGTCTAGGTGTCTGTAATCAATTGTACGTCTTCTTCTCAAGTTCATCCTGTATCTGTCTGACATTGTACTTGGATAAAAACTCTGTATTATCTAGAATGCACTCATTAGTATTGGAATTAACAACTGAAGTCGGAACAGACTCACCTGCTTCCTGGGATTGTGTAATCAGCATGTCGGTTGTGTACTGAAACCGCTGCTACCTAGAATTTGAACCATTAGACGTTTAGACTATCCTGCCCCACGAAATAATGTTGGATCTTTATATCCCCAATTTATGAATGCTGTGGCTTCATGTATAAACACATTTCTCACATTGGTTAGAGTAAACATTAGAAGTGTTTTTGTGATAAGGATAAACAACAGTTGATATGAAATCATCCGAATTGTAATCAAAATCGAGGTCATTTAGTACTTGTGCTTCGCATTGAACAAGTTTCCCACAAGAAACGAATGCATTATGAGGACAAATAATATTTGGTATGACATCAAGATTTGATTCTTCTGAAATAGTTTCCTCAAATTTATTAAGAATATCATTGCAGAGTAAAGGATCATTATATAAACCAGCATCTATCAAAACTACACCAGGCTTTCGATCATGACTAGGTCCATTCAACATATTTTCTTCAGATTGGCAAGGAATTCATCAGAAATAAGTAAATCATTAGGAAAACCATATCTGGTACAATAACATGAGAAATCTGATAAGTCGATTGATTAGGAAACTGCTTGTCTCGCAAGGAATTCTGAGTTTCACTTAACTCTGAACTGCTATATGACTCTACACTGTCTTTTGAAATCGGTGATAAAGATAAATGATCATTATAAATACTCAACTTAATAGAATCAGAATTACAAGACTTAATATTCGTTGCAAGCAAGATGAACATTAGTATTACAGACTGAGTGAATATTGAACAATAGCCCAAATTTCGAACCTTTCAAAGTAATCCTCAAAAGCATCAAGATCTGTATGTATATCCGAAAAATTCAATCACAGGCTCCATCGTGACACCAATGTGATAATTAGGAGTATTTGAATTATAGCACGAACTAAGAATCCCAGAAATAACTTAATCGGATCAAGAAGTACTAGACAAGCACAAACGAATGTACTGTATTTAGAATTCGAAATCAAGCATTCAACAAGTACAAAGAATCATTAGTTCATTCGAACACCACAGCTGCTCATGTGATTATCAGAAAGAACATGAGTCGTAACTAAGGAAAGTACAACTCCCAACTCATATCTATGATAATGTCATGAATCTTTGTCAGTGTTGTGGTAAATTCGACAATGATGTTCCAACTTGCAGGAGATTTTTTCGACTGCTTATATTAATGATTTGCATGCAATATTATGTTGTTAAGCCTCCATTTATACTGACAAGCTTTTAAGATGATTACTAAATGAGCAAGTGATGGAAAAACATATTAAAATCATACATTACAGATAATCATAACCGTGAAAAAACAGTACTATTTAATAATAATTGAAAGACAGTTTATCCACAGATTTGTTAATACTTTCAATTTCATCAATCATATTACGTGATTGTCAAGTTACAACAATGCCTAATGATGATATCCAGAAACCACTATGAATCACAAGTTATAGTGTTGATTGGGATAAACTATTAAGATATTGTATTGTTGTTTTAGGTTATTCTGAAATAATTTGTAATATTAACGGATTCAAATCGAGATCCAGAAATATTTGTCCACTAAATTTAATTTTATTTATAAGCCCAAGAATTTTTTTATTTTGAGTGCTCGCTTGATTAACAACCACGTGATAGTTTAATCATTATATCAGTGTAGCA